AGGAGAAAGGGTTCTTATCTATAAGTGTGGAGATCTGGCTTCTGGTCTCAGCTCTTCTCCCAACTAGGTCGATGACTGGGGGGATGGAGAGGAGTTCCCTAAATTCCCACCCTCTCTGAGCTGCTCAGCAGCCTCTGAGTTGTAAACTTTAATCCAGCACAGAAAATTCAGTAGGGCCCCTGGCCTTCTTGGAGCCAAATTTATGCCTTTGGCCTCTGACAAATATTTTTCTTTGTGGTTCTGTAGGAATCAAGGATATGAAATCCAGAAGATTTAAATCTCAGAGATCCAAGGGGTGTTATCATATTGTCATTTCAAATAAAAGGACTACTCAGGTCTAGGATTTTGACCTGCATATTCACCCACTCATATGTTAGGTAGGAGTACAGCCTTGTTAAGGTACTAGAGAAATGGGCCAAGTTGGAGGTGGGGGGAACGATGTTGGGATAGGAAACGAGCACTTCTTGATGTCAGAGTGCCCAAGGCATGCAAAGGTTAGCCCCCCTCCCCCATTCTGCACATACTTGGTCATCAGAGAAAAGAAATTATTGGTCCCTTCCTGAAGTTGAAATAGTAAAACACTATGGGATTTACTTTTTAGAATTATTTTTTTAACTTTTTCATTTTGAGATAATTTCAGACTTACAGAACGATTGCAAAAGAGTACAAAGTATACTATTCATCCATATTACCCAAATGTTAGCTTTTAACTACCTGCTTTATCATACCTCTTCACACATGCACACACACACACACTTCTGAAATTTTAAGAGGCAGTTGCAGACATGATGTACCTTTACCTCTAAATACCTCAGTGCATATTTCTTAAAAATAAGGCCTTTCTCGTATAACCACAGTATAATTTTCAAAATCATGAAATTAGCATTGATACAATCTATTATATAATCTGTAGACCTTATTCAAATTTCACAGGTTGTTTCAATGCATATCCTCTAGAAAAAAAGAATATCCTAAAATATCCTAAAGAAAAAAATCCACAGTGTAAAACGTAGCATTTAGTTTTCAGGTGTCCTTGGTCTGCTTTAATCTGAAAGCATTCTGCAGTCATGCTGACTTTTGTGACGTGGCCATTTTTTGAGAACAGGCCAGTTGGTTATTTGTAGTGTGTTCCTCAGTTTGGTTTCATTGGATGTTTCCTCACAGTCCAATTTAGGTTGTGCATTTTGGCGGGAATGGCCATGAGCGATGCTGAGGTCTCCTCCGGCCTCACGTCAGGAAGCACCAATGCTCACTCCACCCTGTCACTGATGATGTTAGCCACTTAGTCAGGTGCTATCTTTCAGGTGTCTCCTTGGCGAACTTACTATTTTCCTTTCTGTAATTAAGTATTTTGTGAGGGAATACTTTGGAACTATTTAAATACCCTGTTTCTCATCACAACTTAGCTCGCTAGTGTAAGCAATCATTTAGGATTCCTGTGAGATATTTATTACTATGGTGATTGCCAAATGGTGATTTTTCTCATTCTGTTTTTTCCATCTGCATTTACTAGTTGGAATTATACAAATTTTAATTTCTAATGACATTCCAAAAAGACTTCATCTGTAAAAGAGAAAATATCTGGGCTAATCTAAATCCATGAGAAATAAAAACCTCCCCTCTCCTCTCTCCTTAATCTCAGAGCCCAGGTATTCAGCTAAGTGGTTTATTGATCTATATTTAATACAGCAGAAATATGCAGAGCTGTTGGAAGTTGCCCCTACGGCCACTTTCTATTTGAGGTAACAAAATTCCTAATCCTGTCTGAGATCCTTCTCTCTTGAGGTTTACCTTACATTTTTTCCCATAAAGTCTTGGTCTTGTTCTCCCTTCTCTAGCCCTCTCCACCACACACACACACACACACGCACATACATGCACATGCACACATACATACACCCGTGTACACACACCTTAGAACCTGGTTCTTATTTGTTTATTTTTTAAGTAGGCTCCATGCCCAGTGTGGAGCCCGACGTGGGGCTGGAACTCACGACCCTAAGATCAAGACCTGAGCTGAGATCAAGAATCAGATGCTCAACTGACTGAGCCACCCAGGCGCCCGTGGAATCTGATTCTTAAAGCTCTCTATCTTCTAAATATTAAAGACTCTACTCACCTCAAAGCTCCTTCAGGGCATGACTGCCAAGTTGACATTCCACAGGCACACTCATTCCCTTTTGCTTCTAGCTCAGCACTTTCAATTATCTGCTGTCCGGTCTTGAAGCTCATACGCTCAAGATGAATCTAATTCAATTCTCTCACTCTCCAGCATAAAATGAGTCAATAAGTTATTCACAATTTCTCACTTTTGGAATGACTTTTCAGGAAAAGAACCGATAGCAGACCTCTCCTCCAGGAGTCTTCCAAAGTACATAGCTATGGTTAGGGCTCCTCTCCAATTAATTTCCCTCAGATTTTTGACCTTCATCTCAACTATTCTCATCTTTGAGAACCATTCTTTCCCTGGGACAATCACTCTTCATCCCGTAGACATCAGAAGACCCTTAGATTATTCCAGTAGCATCATATATTTTTGGGGAAGTTAATTTTTACTTAAACCAAAGAAGCAAAGGGCAAGATTGACAAGCTTCCACGAAAATTTTTCCTCCTGGTCAGTAGACTATGTTACTTTTAACATTAAGAAGCTGGATGTCTCTTGTCTTACAATATTATGCCTCTTTCAAGCAGAATGGGAACCTTTAGGAACCATTCTCCAGTCCAAAATCCATGGCACAGTCGCTTGTTTCTAGGAAAAGGAATACATTTATGATGAATATTTCATCATAAATCTTTAGCTGAGACCAGAAATAGTAGAACTGCTAAATAAAACTGATTTATTTCCCAGAAACTTCTAGGGAATCGAGTCAGTAGTCAGTACCAGAAATTATCTTTGGGGAAACCAATTTTTCATGAGTGGCCTTGCTTCTTGATGAGGAAATGTTGAGAAACAATACTTTCTTCTCCCCATTTAAAATCCCCAAATGACAGCATTTCCTTGCCTTTCCCTTGAAGAGGAAAGGAACAAAAAACTCACCAACAGTTTTTGGACACTCTGGAAATGGGAAGCTCATATTTTGTGGAAACTCACTAGACCAAAAGCCTTTCTAGAACTCTGATTCTAGACCAAAAGCCTTTCTAGAACTCTGATTCTAGACCAAAAGCCTTTCTAGAACTCTGATTCTAGGTACGTCCATTGCACCAGTGTTGAACCAGAGCAATACACCACCAAGCTTCCGTGAATTAATACAGTATTTCCAAATACTGACTGATGAAACAGACTCAACTGCTTTGTAAATTATAAGATAATTTATCCTAGACACTTTCGACATGGACATAAATACCTTGAAAAAACATACCTGTAAGTTCAGATACTATAATAGAAAGCAGGTCAGAAAAAGATGTGACCTATAGGAATTAAAGGGTGAGACATTTTATCTCTAGCCTTCCCTTCTGTGGTTTGAGATTTAGAACTTTCCGTCACTGTTGTGAGGGGAAGGACACCCACATGGGGTCTGGACAGCAAAACACTGGGTGGGGCCCATCTCCATCAGTTGAGCTGGAAAGGACATTGATAGGCAACAGGCATCAGGAACTTAGATTAAATCTTGAAAAATACCCTAAGCAAGGTGGGAAAATTTGAACATCAAGGAGAATAAGAACTGCAATGGAATGAAATACATCATATATTACAACTCATGAGTTTATAATGATCCCAAAACAAACAAAACAAAAACCAATGGGTATGTTTAGATATTGGAGCCAGGGGACTCATTTTTCTAAAAATTTGTATAAAGGGAAAGAATCAAGTACTTATCCTGTCTTTCCTGCATACACTGTACCTCAGCGTAGCCAAATAGCTGAAGAGGGAAAGTTCTTCTTTAAAGAAGAATTCCAGATAAGAATGAAGAAGGGATGATTAAAAATATCAATGCCTTGCCACTGCAAAAATAAGGGACTTAAGCAATCATATCAATGACTCTGGAAAACTATCAGGTGACAAGGCTGATGGGGAACTTTAAAATAGATAGATCAACCTGGCAGCACTTGAATTCACCTATTAATACTAACATATCCAAAAGAGAAGCAGCCTTGTAATGAGATGCAGAGGAAATATAGAATACAACCTGTAAAACATTCTTAACAAAAACTTAAATCTGATTCTTACAACATCTCTAGGTTTAACTACTAGTGTATTGGAAATATAGGGGACAGAGGAACATGTTAAATAATACCATTGGGATGCAAGCAGCAAAACCTAGAATATAAGAATATTTAATAAATAAATAAATATTTAATAAATTAATAAATAAATAATAAATAAATTACAAGAAAAAAATTAGAGAAGGGGAACCTATAGACTAAAAGACACCTATGAGAAGCATCAAACAAATGTGATGTGGGGACTTCTAAGGATCCTGACTCAAACAAAGCACCTGTGTAAAAAAAAAAAAAAATGTACTAGATCATCAGATGTATTTGAACACTAATTGGATATTTGATGATATTAAGTAACTATTGATAATATTTAGATGTGATAATGGTATTGTGATTATGTTTTTAAAAGAGCCATCTTTGTCAATATTCACTACAACATTTACAAATAAAATGGTGTTTGGGGTTGGCTTCAAAATAAGCTATTGAGCAGAATGTGGGTAGGAGTATTATATGAAATAGGATTGGTTATGAGTTGATAGTTTTTAAAATTATCAGAGAGGCAAATGAAGGTTCATTATATGCTTTCTATAATATACAAACCATAGCCTTAGTCATCTCAAAATCAATGTGCTTTTCTTTCTCTGATAAATAAACTATTTTTGCAATTGAGCACCAAGGTTTGACAAATAGGTTACCACATTGTTATTGTTCTTGTGTTTGCATAGATATGTGCATAATTTGAGCATGAGAATAAACCCTGAAAAAAACCTGTGTCTCCTTAGGATACATGTCCTCATATTATCCCTGAAGCCAGGGGCTGATTTTTCTTCATGTCTGGACAGGTCAGTGAACGGCTGATATTATACCAGCATGTGGACCATGAGAACACTGGCTGGACTGCAGAAGACTCTTTCACGTTTACGACATCATCCCCACCAGCAGCTCTAGGCCCTGAGGAGTTTCGTATTACTATTTCATATGAAATTACTGAACCTGGTCGGCAGAGTCATCTGCTTGCAAATACAGGTAAAGCCACCAAAAGATATGGCCAGTGGCTTATCTATAATTATTAAAGTAGGGACAGTTTGGAAATAAATATTCCCCTTATTAATTGGAAATGCCATGATATCATATCAATGCCATGATATCAACCTTTGAAATAAAATGTATATGGTTATAAAAATTTATTTCTTTTTGTGTGCTCTTTCTCTGGGCCTCTTCTTTTTCCTCTCATAAGCTTTAATAGTTGTAGTTGGGGGGAACATGGAAAATTAACTCTAAAGCATTTTATTTGTAACTCCAAATGGGGACTTTACCATGCCTATTACTGAAAACCATCTATAGAAAATGAAAACAAATAGGGCAAGTTCCTGAAAGGAAAGGGGTATTGAAAGCTGCACCTGTTTCCATGGCAAGAGAAAGTCCAGTAGTAGATAAGTTAGGAGATTAACATTCTATAAGTGAATCTCAAGATTTTAGAGCTATCTTGCCTGAAATATTGACTTAGTAGTTAGGATATGTATACTTAAAATATAATTTGTTATATGCCTTGTGTAACAATGCCAATTCAGGTCCTTGAGCAACCCAGAGGTTTAGAATAATCCACTCAGATAGGGAAATTTGAGAGAGAAAGAGCTTTATAGGTGTCATCTGAAAGTTCTAATGAAATGCCACTTTGTTCTTTATATTTTCACAGGAGCTGCTGTCAAGGAGGGAGACAAAGTTCTCATTGACCAATCTAATTTAGATGCTTCCAACCTCTTATTGAAATTGCCCAAATCTCAGCGATCTTCCTATGAAATCTGGTTCCAGGTTACGTCTCTTCCTCACCATGGAACCATTATGGTTGGAGAGAGGAATATTACCAAGGAAAAACCCAATTTCTCCCAGTATATAGTTAACAAATTTGGAATCATATACCTTCACGATGACTCTGAATCGCTGGCTGATAATTTTACCTTTGCCGTTTGGCCGAAACAGAAGAGCAAGTCCACTACCAAGCCAGAGGCTGACTTCCTTGAAGAGATGTTTAACATCACCATATCTCCTGTTAATGACCAGGCACCAGAATTAAAGACAAAAGGGCTTCGGTTGAAAGTTCTGCAGGGAAATAGGTTGGTTGTGGGACCAGAAAACCTAAAAGTGGAAGATCTAGACAGTCCTCCAGAGGAGATCAGATATATGATCATCCGCAATCCTAATAATGGCTTTTTGGCAATGGCTCACCATCCAGATGTACCTGTTCACCATTTCACACAAGCTGACATTGATAACTCTCAGGTATGGTTTGTGCAAGATGGAAGCCCATCTTCGAGTGTGTTTTACTTTAGTGTGACTGATGGCCAACACCGCCCACTCTATAAGCTCTTCCACCTGGATGTCATCCCCATCTCCATCACCCTTGTGAACCTCACGGACCTACTTCTCCCACAAGGCCAGACAACTGTCCCCATCACCAATACTCACTTGTCAGCAACGACCAATGGGAGAAGCCCCCAAATCACTTACAAGATGACATGGCCCCCCCAACATGGGCATCTGCTCATTGAAAACCAGGTGGTTGTCAGCTTTGGGCAGGAAGATCTGCATTCAGGAAGACTTTCTTACCATATGACACATCTCATGGCCTCAGAGGACCAGCTGTATTTCTCACTATTTACACCAGAAAGCAATCTGATGGGACAAACACTGAACATCAGGGTGCAGCCTTTACTGCAGGTTACGTCAAACCTGACCATCGCCAACAGGGAGGTTTATCAGCTGAGAAGAAAGGACCTTGATGCGACTGAACTTGCTAATAGGACTAACAGTGATCCCAAATTTGAAGTGACCGAACTCCCTGTCCATGGAAGACTTGTACGAAGAGTGGGCCGAGGCACGGCAATGGAAAACGCTACTCTATTCACTCAGAGGGACATTGACCAAGGGTTGTTGATGCTTCATCCACATGCCAACCTAACAGGCATTGATATGCTGAATGACTCCTTCACTTTCTTGCTCAGGGCAGACCATGTGCAGCCAGCAATAGGTCATCTACCCTTCACCATAGTGCCACCTGACCCCTTATGTTTGCAAACCTTTACCCCTGATGTTTCTTTATTAGTCACTGCAGATAACCTTGTGACTTCAGATCTCTCTCAGGAAAAGCCCATGGTTTCCTCAGGACCCACAGCAAAGACAGAAACTCTAGGGAAGCTGACCCAGACCAGGCAGCAGGAAGCAAGTCCCTGGGGACAACACCGTGGTGAAGAGTCTACTCTGGATGGCAAAGCTTCTCCAACCAGGGTCATCTGGCCACCAGACACAACCAACGCCAGTCCTGAGGCACCCACCCAGCCCAGGGAGAGCAGTTATCCCCTGATGGTCATTGTACCCTTGGCTGTGGTGGTCTTCCTGCTGATGATAACTGCAGTGGCCTTGTGTGTCTGGCTGCTGGGCCAGAAGGTAGAAAAGACAAAACCTCTTATCAAGTCTCAGACCAATCTTGAACCTACAACCCCAGGTCCTAGGCCAGAAAGGAGCATAACTGTTCCCACTGTCACAGTGACACCCCTTCTAAAAAGCTCCAGAAATCCCCCAGTCAGTCTTTTCAGGGACCCACAAAGTGAGCAGATGGCTTCTCCAGCCACTGAGCCAGTGGAGAAATGTGCTCCTTGGGAGACATGGATGAGTCTGGATCCCAATATGGTCCAGTTCTGCCGACAAACCAACCCAACACTGAAGCACAACCAGTATTGGGTGTAGACCGAGGGCTTTTGTTCCTGATTGACCACCTACTATACTGGGATAGACACTGGGACACAAAGGCAAAGAAATGTTGGTTGGATCAACTGAGAAAAGCCTGGCCCTGCCAGTCAGTCATTCAGTGCTCAGTTATGGTCCCATGGTTACATGTGGGTGAATGTTTACTGTAACTCGTACAACACTCATCTGATGGGCTCTCCACAATGAGCTCTGTCTGCCTTCTTCTGGACCTGACTCTGAGTATAAGATTTTATCAATATTTAAATCCTTTATCAAGGTGCTACCAAACATGCTGGTCCAACTGGAAACAGCAATATTAACTTGGGTGCTAAAGTTAATGGAGGAAGCCTTTGGATTTTTTCCACTAAGAATTCACTCTCTCTAAGTGAGTCAGCAAGGAAATGCAGGAACTGTTTCAGCAAGCAGAAAAGGTAATTTATCAAATCAGCGAGTTTGTTCCTAGTGTGTTTCTGTAATGTCTTTTCCTCTTTGGGGTCTCCAGGTTTGACTTCCTAGGGCAGGAAATGCCTTGGTGCTCCAGATAGTAGGACAGTCTGACCCCCTTTGAAGGTATTCACTGAGCATATTGTGTTTCATCAAGAGGCTTCATCTATTCTGATTTGTAAAATCAAGCCTCTGGTACAAATATGATTTGAAGCCCTAAAATATAGAAAAGTTTATTAAATATTTTGTGATGCCTCAATTTGGCTTAACTTTACAATGAATTGAAATAATGGCAAGTTTGTATTTGACTTGTCTAGTTGAGCCTACCGTTGGCAGATTCAAGCTTCAGTTTCTATAATTGTAAAATGAAGATATCAGTACTTGTTTTAGTTAAGAATGCTTTGAGTTGCAAATCACAAGACATTAGCTATGAGTGGTTGAGATTGGGGATTGGCAAACTTTATCTATGCAGGGCCACATAGTAAATATTTAAGAATTTGTGGGCCCCATATGGCTGTTTATTTTTAACAACCTTTGTTCCTTAACAACCTTTTAAAAATGTAACAACAGTTCTTAGTTCCTGCATTTGACCCACAAATCAGAGTTTGCCAACTATTGATTTGGCTAAGCAATGAAAGTGTTGAATTATTTCAACTAACCAGCAGCCTGAGGTGGACATTCCAAGGCTGGTTCAATGGTTCAAAGATATCATCAAGGACTGAAGCTCTTTTGTTTTTTTCTGCTTTACCTTGCTCAAGCTGTTGGCATTTCTTTTCTTTCTTTCTTTTTTTTTTTCCTTTCTCTTGGTTCCTTGTAATTGTGAGGGACTGCTCATGGTCCAAGCAGTCCTATCACATTCAAAGACAGACTTTCTAGTGGGGAAAAAACACATATGGTAAAAAGACTTTTTTTTTCTTTTAGAGAGGATCTTATTTATAATTACTATTTTTTAATCTTATAAGAGGAAGACTTCTCAAACATTTTCCCCCTTTTATGTCTCAGTCTAGAACTGAGAAATGGGCAAAAGAAAATGGAATTCTCATGACTAACAATCTCTCCTGGGGCTGGGAGAGGATTCTGCCATGTCAGAGATCAGTGGATGAGCCCACCGTGTAATTAGGGGAGGCTAAGAATGAATAAGATCTACTAAAATACTCTTCAAATACGAAATACTTGGGAAATAAGAATTTTGATCTTTCCGATGGATGTCTACTTTAATATCTCCTTTTCATATTTTAATGATTTCCTTAAAGCCAGTGGCTAGTGTTTCTAGGGTGGAAGGAAGAATTGCCCCTGGAAGGGGGGCATTTGGCAGGGTCTGGAGACATTTTTGGTTTTCACAGCAAGTGCTATTGGCATCCATTGGGTAAAAGCCAAGGATGCTGCCGAATATCCAACACTGCACAGAACAGCCCCAACAAAGAATTTTCTGGTCCAAAACTTCAACAATGCCAAGGTTGAGAAACCCTGGTTAATGCCACAATGAAGAATCTTCTTGTCTACCCAGTAAAGGATTAATAAACCCATTACCAAGTCTAAGCAGCAACTATATTCTAAAAACAGAATAAAAGGGTGAAAATTCCATTGTGTGGTTGAAACTCTGATTGGCAAATGTTTTTAAAAGAAGATGTATTAAAAACCAAACAAGGGATGCCTGGGTGGCTCAGTTGTTAAGCGTCTGCCTTCGGCTCGGGTCATGATCCCAGGGTCCTGGGATCGAGCCCCGCATCGGGCTCCTTGCTCAGCAGGAAGCCTGCTTCTCCCTCTCCCACTCGCCCTGCTTGTGTTCCCTCTCTGGCTGTGTCTCTCTGTCAAATAAGTAAATAAAATCTTAAAAAACAAACAAACAAAACTTGCGGGCAGACTCATTTCCTTATATTCCTTGATAAAAGAAAAGGTTTTACCTGGTATTAACAGGTGGGACACATCAGGAGGAAATAAAAAAAGTGAGGTAGGATATTTACAAAGGTAAAGCTGAGGTCAAAGTGTCCCCAGAAGTCTATTGCCTCTGATGTGTTCCATGTGCACAAGAATTTTTTTTCTCATCCTTTCCCTTTTCTGCTTCTCTAGGTTGCTTCTCTGTCCCAACCCAATTTTAACTGCTCTTTGTGGAAATAGACTTCATAATCTACAGAATAAATGGAAGCATAGCATTTTTAAGCCTAGAAATAACTACCCATGTCTTAAATCCCTGGCTCTAATGCTATGGACAGCTGGTAAAACTTCTCTACTCTTCTTCCTAAAGTGATTCTCCCCTACCTGTCTGTATCCCTGAATTATATGTAGCCCCTTTGAAGTGTTTTTGTACTTGATCCTTTTAAAAAGGAGGAGGACTGAGAGTCTTAACCCAAGGTTGGTTTGATCACTGTGCAACTCAGAATTATTCTTAAACTTTTCTAAGCAGCCAGGCACTCAGAAGGAACAGAATGGCAGTGTGTGCATGACCCTGCACACAGAAAGGGAAGGCTGAGCAACATCTTTGCATCCAGTTAGTGGGTTTTGTTTTCTCTCCCGGCTGGGCAAGGAGAATGCCTGTTCTTTGTGGAAGAGCCAGATAAAGTTGGTTCTATAACTATGTTGGCCTCTTCCTTGCTTCGACCATAAGATCTGTGAAGTTAGGATTACCAACCTGGCCAAACAAAAAAGTCTGATTTCCCCTCCTCTTTTCCTGTTAAGTCTGCAACTTCATACAAATAAAATTAGTGCCCGTATTGGAATGAAATATACACCGACGATTTGAAATGGTAATGCACATCGTTTGTGAGTGCATGTGCTAGAGCAAGAGCATCAGTGTGAGGTCCAGATGTCAACACTCAGTAGTTAATATAGAGCTTGGAAAGTTTTCTTCCAGAGCATCTAGAATATTCTTCGGATACAGATGGATTCAATAAAAAAAAAATTGCCTACCGCCTGGGTGGCTCAGTTGGTTAAGCGACTGCCTTCAGCTCAGGTCATGATCCTGGAGTCCCTGGATCGAGTCCCACATCGGGCTCCCTGCTCGGCAGGGAGTCTGCTTCTCCCTCTGACCCTCCCCCCTCTCATGTGTTCTCTCTCATTCTCTCTCTCTCAAATAAATAGATAAAATCTTAAAAAAAAAAAATTGCCTACCATTTGGTGCTGGCTCAACTAAAAAATGAAATAGCGAGTTTTGGCAAATCCTTGTTTAGTGTTGAAAATTAAAGTTTTGGGAATTGAAAATCAGTTTGAAATGGTTTCTCCCATACACAGAGCTACAGCTCCATAGTCTCTGTCATAATTAATTCACTACCTCTTAACAAATGACTGGAGAATTAATAAGTGGATGCCAAAGATTAATATCAGAAGAATGGCTGATTTTGCTTAAAAGAAGGTATACTTTGGGGTGGGCTGGGAGTGAAAGGTCTAACATTTTTCCATATCTGGAGGCATTGACAAATTCTAATCTTTCAGGGACCCTGATCCAACACCTGCATTCACTTCCTTAGAGCCCTGCATTAATTAGGTGGTGTGGGACAGGTGCTATCCTTACTCACTGGTTTTTCAGATTTCCAGGACTGTAGTAGACACATTTGGGTAGGTAATGGAAGGTGATGGTACATATCAGATGACATTCCCTGAATTTGACAATGGGATTGTGCTACATACCTCCTACATCTTTCAGAAGCATTATAATTAATAATGAGTTTGAGTTGGCCATGTGTAGGGAGAGATGTAGGGTTGAAAATAGGCATGGAGCCCACTGTGGGGCATGCTCAGTGAAGGAGACTTTGGCTGGGGTGCTCAAGAACACCACTGGCTGCTTGACAGAGACCTGGAAGAGGTTTCCTTCTCATAATGATTGGCAAACATTTATTAGGCACCCACTGTATGTGAGACACTAAGTATTAGATAGGGCTCCTAGATATTACAGATGCAAGATGTTGTCCTGAAAGGATCTTTCTGGTTTGTTTCCTTTAGTAGGTTCTTCCAGAATCACACAGGGAGTGCCAGGAGAGAGGAAGGTATGGAAAAAGAAGGACAAAGAGAAATAAAGTTTAAGAAAGGGTTTTGTGTTTTCACTTGAAGCACTTTTAAGCTAGTATTGCCCATCCAGCAGTACAGTGAGAATGAGGGAACTCACTGGCCCGCTAAACGCCACATCAGCCCAACCTGCACCACCTGTCCCTCAAGGTCCCCCAGGCCTAGTGACACTGTCTGTGTCTGTTTTGACCCTGGCTCTCTGCTTCCAAGCAGTGTGGCTTTGAGTAACTTACTCAATCTCTCTAAATTTCAGTTTCCTCAGCCAAAAACTGGGGATAATATTAGCACCTACCTTTTTGGGTTTTGTTAGGATTTAGTGATGTTAATATTATCATCATTATCATCATCATCATATTTGTACATTTTCAGTGCACCAGGCAATATACTAACTGCCACAAAAACATTTTCTTGCCTACGGTTTTAATGCACTGTAAAAGAACTGATGCAGGGCGTCTGGCTGGCGCAGTCTATTAGGCCTCGGACTCTCGGTTTCCACTCAGATCGTGATCTCAGGGTCATGAGATCAAGCCTTGTGTTGGGTTCCATGCTCAGCATGGAGTTTGCTTGTCCCTCTCCCTCTGCCCCTCCTGCTCATACTCTCTCTCAAATAAATAAATAAATCTTTTTAAAATTAATTAATTAAATATTAAAGAACTGATGCATTAAATCACTTAAATAAACCAGAGGCTTGCATTCTACCCAAAGCAGTACATTACTGGTAGTAGAATTTCAGTGGGTGAGTTGAGGATGGGTGATATGTTCTTAAGAGGAGCTTCCCCAGTGCTCGTGGATGGAGCTTCCCCTTCATCCGTGGATGGAGCCTTGGCCAGAAACTGGATGAAAGAAAGAGCACACCAGGAACACTTGCAAGGGCCAGCCTGAAGCTCAGGGGTTTTGACGGTTCTCTATATTTTTTGGGGGGGTGGTGAGGAACTGTTGATGAAAAACCCTGCTTCGTTCCCTTCCTGTCCCAATAGGATCAAATCCTACATCCACCAGGCCTTTGATTTTAAACCTGTACCCCTTCTCCCGCCTCCCATCCCATTATTCTCAGGCATTCACAGGATAGTCATTTTCTTTTTCAGTTCAGGATTGACAAAGGACTGCCACTTAAAAAGAAACTAATATCATACCTTACCAAAATAAAAAGTGCTATTTACCATCACCATAATTTCATTCCTTAAGTGAGGACAAATTCTTATAATAAAGAACTTTATGGAAAAAAACTAAGCAGCTTTCCGAAAACCTCTCTCCTTTGCCCAGATTTGACCATGGCCTGGAAAAACCTCAGCACGCCCCAGCAGGGTCAGGAACCCCCATGGAGGCCGAGCTTACAGTTGCGTGACCAGAGCTGAGGGAGAGACAGAGACAGGGAAGAGAAAATCAGCTCCTCAATGTCGGTGTTCCTTAGGAAGATGTGGTCAGGCCGTCCCTGGGTGTGTGTGTGAGAGGTAAAGCATGGGGATGAGGGGTAACTTGCTATTTTAGAGTCCAGACAAGGCCAGATCCAGGGGCATAGATAACCAGTGCAGCCAGACAAGGCTCAGGAGGACCCTAGGCTTAGCTTAATGCTCTCCGGTAACCATCTTGAAATTCCAATAATTTTTGAACAAAGCACCCACATTTTCATGCCTCACTGGGCCCTGCTAATTCTGTAGCTGATCCTGAGACCTCACAGGGCTTAGTGGGTGGTTGTTGTATCAGACACCTCT